ATTTTTCAAAATACCTGTTGTTAATTGCTATATTGAAGTTGTTAATAGCATTACAAAAGTTGTTAACCGTTATACTGAAGTTGTAAAAATTTCAAAAAAAAAAAAATTTCCGACCGGCGGAGCTCCGGTGACCAATTGTCGGCTGGTCGCCGGAGCTTCAGTGACCGCCGCCGCCGGAGTTCCGATGACTGGCCGGCCAGTAGGGGCTGTGATATTTTAAAAATAATATTTAAAATGATGGGTAATTTGGTCTTTTCCTTTCACATAATAATCCCAATTTGGTCTCTTGAGACCAAATTGGGATTTCTGAAATTTAAAATACTATTTGGGGATTCTGAAATTTAAGTAGCATTTTTCTGTCTTTTTCCCAAGTAATAAAGTATATTTTTTTTTAAAAAAATACATTTTTTATTATCTCTTATCTCTCTCTTCTTTCTCCTATATTTAAAACACTCTGTTGTAATTAATAGGAGCAAAGTGAAAAAATATAATTAATTATCCTAACAATTTCTTATGGGAAAATGACAGATAAAGAAGGTGGAATATATGATATTCTAATTTGGGAAGTTAAGGAAATGTAATGACAAAGAGGGAAGTCCTTCTCAAATTGGAATTTTAAAATTTAGTAAAATGACAAAATACCATTTGTTTTTTTTTTTTTTTGTAAAAAAAGCTCAGCCCCTCACTGGTGGCCAATGGCGGGCAGCCACCACCGGTGACTAGCTGTCAGTGGTTTTTTGTGACATTTTTTTTTTGCTTGGGAGAATATTGCAAGAAGTGGTGGGGATAGGATTTGATCCCACAACCCCTTGACCATTTGGGCTAACAAAAGAAAATATGACCATTAGGCCATCAAAAACTTATTAATCTTATAATGTAAACAAAAATATAAGTTGACTTTTTTATTGTGACTCTAGCCCATGACAACAATTTACCTGAGGATGACAAGTCTTAATTGAGAGATAACAAGTCTAAATTTGATATTAACAAAGCAACTTTTCTTGATACATAACAAGAAATAACATGTATATTAATTAAAAATGATCATAATTTATTTGAAAATGACACGTCTTTACTAAAAAATAACAAGTCTAAACTTGATATTAACAATGTGTCTTTTCCTAATGCATAACAAGAAGTAGCATATATATTAATTAAAAATAACCATAATTTATCTGAAAATGACACCTCAAGGACAATATTGCTCTTGAATAGAAACTTCTTGGCAAATTTGCTTTTTAACCAAATGAACTAATAAACCACATGATATCTGCAGAGATCAGCAATTGAAGCAGCCAAAAAGCTTCCCCAAAGTGCAGCAACTGATAACTTTGACCTGAAAACAACTTGTGTTTCTTCTGCAAACCAAATTCGTATAGCAGACTTTGGCTGTTCCACTGGGCCAAACACGTTCATTGCAACACAAAATATAATAGAAGCAATACAAGTCAAATACCAATCTCAATATCAAATTATTATATTTTAGTGAAAAGTTAATGTAGTTTAATATTTTTCTTTGTTTGTATAAAACATGCTGAAAGTGTTTCATAAATAAGACTAAAAAAATAACAAATTATTAAATTTGGTAGGGATAATTTTGTCTTTTTCCTATTATCATCTTTTATCATCTTTTCTCTCTGCACGATGCGTTAGTGAAAAGCACCTTAGATTTACTTCAACATTGAAATGGCATTTTACCAAAAGCTCATCTCAAAAAAAAAAAAAAAAAAGTGATCCAAACATGTGTTGAAGCCAAATGTATGTCACGTTTCCTGTTGAAAAAGTGAATCCAAAAATATGAGATGGTTATTAACTTTGGAAATTGAAATCACAAAAACGTTTGTCAAGCAATCCTAACGAAAACATGGCAAGAAGTTCGAAATGCAAGAATGTTTCGGGAAAGAGAGGAGATTTTCATAGAAGGAAACGTTTTTGTTAGGACTGCTTAACAAGGGACGAAGTTGCAAACAAAGATTAAGTGAAGGATAGAACGGTCCTTTGGCTTCAATAAAACCAGAGTCATTGACCCCCTTCAGCCCCTCTCCCATTCGATGCAGAACCGAGCAAGGAAGAGAGAAACAGAGTGAGGCGAAGGAGAGGAAGAGAGCTCCACGCGCTACATGCAACACTGATCTTGGACTAAGGTCCGTCTCTTAAACCTTCTCCCATCTTCATTTCCTTCATCTGATCTTGTTAGTTAATCCAGTTGATGAGTGAGATCAGAAAGCTGATCGATGATGATTCGTGTGTGAATCAGTTAGTGCATGTGGAAATTTTCTGCAGATTAAGAGTAATGGAGAGCAGAGGATGCTTATAATAAGTTCATAACAGCATTTTATATATATACATACGTACACACACACACATATAGATATGCGTGTTTGCTGTTGAAGCCATGGGATTTTCGATTGTCACTTGTTGGTGTCGGGTCTTGGATGAAATTATGAAATTTGGAGTCGTTGAGATTTCACCACACATGCATGCACGATCTGATAAGCATTGGATGAAGACCCATAAATTTAGTTTTCAATGTTTCTAAGGGAATTTTTTCAATAGCATTTCACACCTTAACCCCTTGCTTGGATTGAGAGAAAATTAGGGAGGAGAGAAAACTAGAGAGAAAAATATGAGGAGAAACAAGTTTTCTCTTGTTTGGATAGGAGAAAAAATGTAGAGGGAAGGAAAAGTGAAGGAGAAAATAAGGTGGGTCCCATGCCTCATTTTCTCTCCAAATTTTCTCTCCATATATGGAGAGATTTGGGAAGGAAAACAAGACTTCCATTACTACCCCTCCTCTCTTTTCCTCTCCATATTTATTTTCTTTCATTATATCTAAAAAGTTATTCACTTTTTTTTTTCATCTTAAAACAATATTTTTATTAAATAATTTGGTTTTAAAATATAATAATCTGAAAATATATACAAACCAAATAACTTGATTTTAAATTATTTGATGATGCTAATGTTAGAATAATTTTTCTATTGTAATATTTAATTTAATTTAATTGTAAATATGATATATTTTGATAAGGATATTTTAGTCATTTAGATATATGCTAATTTTCTTTCCTCTCTATTTTCTCTTATCCATCCAAGCAAGAGGGATGATCATAACTTCCCTCCACTTTTTCCTTCTCTATTTTCTCTCCTCCTATTTTCTTTCCTCTCAACTTTTCTTCTTATCCAAGTAGAGCATAAAAGTAATTTTTTGGGTGCAATTTGGGCTCAATATATTTCCTGAGTTAAAATTTTAATTTTTTTAATCACTCTCTTTTTATATTTTTGGTGCCCGTCTTTCATGTTTTTTTAATATCATCTTTAACATTTTAATAATCAATTTTTCCACATTCTTCAACGTCCATCTTATATATTTTCTGGACTTATCTTCCATAATTTTAATTATGATGATTAATTATTTTCAGTACAAAAAACATAAAAAATTAAATGCTAAAAGCTTTTAAAATGAGCACTGGGAATTTTTTTCCTTTTTAAAATGTTTTTAATAGTAATTTTAAATGTTTTCGGTACTTGTCTTCCATGCTTTTAGTATTGAAAAAATAATTAAAAGTTAAGATTGAAAATATAGAAGATAAGTCTCGAAAACATTTAAGATGACTACAGAAAAAATTGAGAAACTGTTCATTAAATATGTTGAAAATGATTATTAAAACTATGAACATGAGTATTGAAAATATAAAAAGAGATTAATCAAGAGATTAACTCAAGAAATGCTTTAAGAGTAAAATTGCACTAAAACAGATGTTGAGTGCTGTTGGGAAAAGAAAAATACTTTAAAGTAATAAATGCACATCAACCTTCAATTCACGTGTCTTATTCAACTAATTATTTGGGGAGGCCTTATTTAACTGAGTATTTGGGAAGTAAAAAATAAAATTTCTCTTTGCAAATGAGGAAAGAAAAACCTCTAGCTAGAATGCTAGATTTAGCTTAATCCTTTATAAATATGTGTGCAAAATTATTAAATAACAAACGAATTGAAACGATTTAGGAAGAATAATAAATGTAGGTGTATTAATGATGAGAATTATCAAGGAACCTTTTTTTTTTGGCCAACTAGGCAACTATAAATGAATTTATTAAATACTCCCTCCGTCCCATATTATAAACAACACTGGAGGCTTGGAGCTCATCACGTAGATCAAAATGTTAGTTAAAATTAGTTAAAAATAATAAATGTGTAAAAATTAGAAATTCTTTCACTAAAATGCCCTTATTTATAGGGGAGAGAGAGTATAAGAGGGAGAATAAGAAAATTATTATAATAAAGAGAATTATGGAAGAAAGAGAATGTGTGATGGAGAGATGATGATTTAGAAAATAAGATAATAAATATATTGAGTATTAAAATAAGTAAGTAATGGGGGTAAAATATAAAATTTGTTGTAAAAATTTAATACAACTTGTAAATGTTGCCTATATTTAGGAACAAGAAGAAGATAAAAGTTGTTGCTTATAAAATGGGACGGATGGAGTATTATGGAGTGCAAGTTAAGAGTTGTATCAAATGGCTCCTCCTCCCCATCTATCTATGGCTCTAATCATCAATTATATTCTTAAAATCTTGTAGTACCCGATTCGTTTAAAAATAGGTCAAGTATAATTTTATAAAATCCGAGTATATTCAATTAATGATATTTGAATAATATTTTAATTGAAATTTGAATATACTGGATTAATGAAAAGTGTTATTAATGAGATTTCAAATCTAAGTAAATATATATTGGATTGTGTAATTTCTAGTTATATATATGAGTTCCGATCACCTTTTCTCTCTACTTCAATCCTTAATTTCTAACTCTACCCTTCCATCTCCCCAACAAATTCTTCTCACTTTAATATTTCATATAGAATCAAGGGCAAGTTGTCGATATCCATTTATTTACTTTCTTTTCCTTTTTGTTACATATGTGGGTGTGTGTGTTCCTATATAAGTTTAATATACATATTTGAACGATGCAGAGAAATAGAAGAGAAATTAGATGGAGAAAGAATCTGACTGTGTGTTTCCTAAATCTTATGTGATGAAAGGAGGAGAAGGTCCTCATAGCTATGCTCAAAACTCAACCGGTCAGGTATTTGATCTTAATATTTATTCCTTTTTTTTTTTTTGGGTGCAGTCGATGATACTACCTACTTTACAAATAAATTTTCATACGGAAAAATGTACAAAATGAGATTCTTACAAGTTATATTAATTGCACAGAATTTCGGTATAAAAGATATTATGGATTTTTTTTTTCAATTTCGTGATTGATATATAAACGGTCACTTTTGAGTACATATTTTCTTTCTATTAAAGTAATCACTCATTTCTCTCTCTCTCTCTTTTTTTAATCATCTATCATTGTTTATATTAAGTTTATTATCGTAATTCAAACAAATATTTAAACTCATATATAATGACGCTTACATCAGCAACAAGCGTACATTTTTTTTTCTTCTAAGAAATTTTCAAATTTCATCACTAATTCACTGTTTTTTTTTTGTATTATTTGATCTATTATCCTTTTTTTCCTTTGGCCAAATACTATAAGAAATGCAAATACATATAATCATATAATACATGCAGAAATCAGCAATTGAAGCAGCCAAGCACCATCTTCAAAATGCCGTTACCAAAAAGTTTGATTTTAAAGCCATTTCTGCTTCCTCTAAAAACCTAATCTGCATAGCTGACTTGGGTTGTTCCACCGGGCCAAACACCTTCATTGCAATTCAAAACATAATAGAAGCAATACAATTCAAATGCCAATCTCAAAATCAATCTACCCCAGAAATCCTAGTCTTCTTCAATGATCAAGCATCAAACGATTTCAACACTCTCTTTCAAAACCTTCCTCCCAATAGAAACTACTTTGCAGCTGGAATTCCTGGCTCTTTCTATGGACGTTTATTTCCAAAAAAGCCTGCATTTAGTTCACACTTCTGCAGCATTGTCTTGGCTATCTGAGTTGCCCAAGGAATGTGAAGGATTTGATGAAAGTAATTGAAACTAATGAAGATTTCAGCATAGAACAATTAGAGGTGCTGGATAACAACTGCTTTGTCGTGCCAAACATTGAATCTTTTGTTTCTCGATTACGAGCTGTGCTGGAAGTACTGATTGAGAATCACTTTGGAGTGGGAATTGTTGATGAACTTTTTGGGCGTTTCATTGAGAAAGTTAGAGAATTCCCAGAAATCATGGATGTGCCCGAGCTTAAGTTCCATTTGTTTTTTGTTGTTCTTAAGCGCAAGGTAAAAGCATAAATAGGTATGTTCACAATTTTCTCATGTAATTGTGAGTCTTGGAGTGATGTTTACAATAAGAGTGACCCTTAAGTAATTTTGCATATGCAGCTGGATCGATATTCTGAACTTATTCTTAATTTGAATATTGGGGTTTCCTCTTTCTTCTTTAGAGCATCCAGGTGCCTCGTTACTGTTGATTTTTCTTTAATTTGTTTTCTTACCTATGGGCTCTGTCATTACATAAATTTTTTTCACATAAAATCTCAAGGTTTATTCTTCTTCTACATCCATGTTCAGCCTATACTAGTGGAGAAAGAAAAATTATAATCCATGAAATTGTTCTATTACAAAATATATTAGAATTAGTAGTAGTATTAAAAGATTTTAATATGGAACATTTTTATAAAAAGTTATACTCAAAGGTCCACATTTTACAACAACCTTTTCTTTTCAGTTGCTTAGTATTGGTTTCATTGTTTCGAATTAAAACGTGCAATGTCAGTAGTAAAATAAGCATTTGAATGTAATAGGAAATAATATCAAGATGTTAGACGCATTATAAAAAATTAGCATACTAGATGTGAGGGTGTTGGTTGCACCTTTTAAAAAAAATATTTAAGACCTGTAGAGTTTAAACTCAGCACTAAATTTAAGAAATGAATATCTAGTTACTTGTATAATTATCACCATTTTTTCAAAAAAATTATAATGTTTTAAAATAATAGTGCAAGGGCGCTTGAAAAAGCAGCATACCTACACAAACACACACATATAAGGTTGAAATGCAAATTTATTCTTAAAGGGTTTACTCAGAAACATCAAGTACTCGGAAGTTATTTTTTTGGTCTAATATTGTTTCAAAAATTTAAAATTATAGCAATATAGCCGCTATCATTTAAAAAAAAAGTAATGGCAATCAACGTCTTTTCACCAACAACATTAAATTTCATTTTGGTTCTTGATGTGTGGTAAAATTTCTAAATGTGTTTGGGGACAAACGAAAGTTAATTGGCCGTATAGTGGGGACTATTTGAAATTTTTTCTAATATTTTATTTTTATATTTTGAAAGGTGAGTTGTTGACATTGCAGGCACATCTCCAATAGATTTTATTTTAAATATTTTTTAATTTATAAAATTTAAATTAAAAATTGATATATTAGCAATTTATTACAGAGTTGCATTCAAATTTGTTGAGTCAATATTTTTCATTAATAAAATTAAATGTGTTAACATTAAGAGATTGAAAATATGCTTTATAAGTTTGAGAAACTAAAAAGTTTATATAAATTTAGTGAACTAAACATATACTTTATCATTCATTAATGGTATCTTTTAACTGTTATTCCTAAGATAATTTAACCGTCAAATATTTACGTAGTAAATCTTAGTTATTGGTATGAAGTTAAAAAGACTATATGTATAGATGAATCGATTTCTTCATAATTTTGTAAGGATTCGTTGCTCCCTAGACGTGAGTAAATCGAAATTATAGGCATGGTGGTAGTTTATTTTATTGATTTTAATAAATCAAGAAATAAGGAAAATTAACTTTAAATCCCTATTTCATGAAGATTGAGAGAATATAGAATTTCGTAAAGAAAATTAACTTTAATTGTTGCAGTTTAGAGAAAGAAATGTATATTCTATTCAGTCGAGTAAAGTAATAAATCTTCCTTTCGGATCTCTCTATTTATTGATTCGTCAGTTCAAATTATACTTTATTTGAAGATTGGCATCACTAATGTTTTCCACTTTTAGCTTTTTGACAATTGAATTGTTGTAATATTTATTATAAGTTATACGATTAGATGTGTACTTTGGTCATTAATTTATGATATTTGAAACTAGGGAGACACAACAACTTTAAGTTGGGATGTTAGTCACCTTAGGTCCTAAGTAACACATATTATTTTATTTGTTTGTAAGCCTCACAAGATTAGTATCAAATATGCCACGAAATGCAAAGGGCTCCATATATAGGTGTCATGTGTTCATCAAAGTGATAAGTACCGAAACTGGCTCCATATGTATGTGTCATTTCTCTGGCTTCTGCAAGTTTATTGTTGCCTTGTTGAAAGCCAAAAGTAAAGAAGTGAGAGAGATGGTGACAATCATCCTTGTGGAACACATATGGGACATTTGGAATGTCCGAGGAGCCATCGTGTTTAGCTTATTGGATCAAGTGTTTTTGGTCTTATTTGCTCCCTTCAGGCCATGCTCAGACAACTTGCTACTCCAATTCCTCATTTGGACTGCGTACATGCTTGTTAATTGGGCTGCCGACTTCACCGTGGGACTCATCAGCAACAATGCAGGTGACAACAACAATGGTGGCAACAAGGAAATCTTGAGCGCTCTGTAGGCCCCATTTGTTCTGGTATACTTCGGACACAATCACTACTTTTTCCTTGGAGGACAATCAACTATGGCTGAGGCAAATACCTAGGTTGTTGTTCCCGGTAGGAGCGGCGACTTATGTGTTTGTTCTCACTCTTCCACAAAACACACTGTGGGTTCCTACTATTCTGGTTTTTGTTTGTGATTCATCAAATGCTTTGAGAGGACTCGGGCTATGTACATTGCCAGCAGCCCTAAGCCCCTAACCCAGATGTTGAACTGAAGCTTTGACATTTCCATCTGCTTAGTGTTATTGAAGACCCAATGACAGAACGATTCATTCTTCGTCAAGTGGAGTTTAGGCCTGAATATGTTTATGAATGGCATTACACTAAGGCCTCAACTATTTGGCATAGCAAAGTAGGATGCCTTGTTCGTTTGGTAGCTCTTGGCTCCATGGTGGTAGCCCTCTCCCTTTTTTTTTTTACAACACAAAAAAATTCTACAATTACTGGTTCGGTCAAGTTTGACAACATTGATGTTATAATAACCTACACACTCTTTTGTGGGGCCCTCTTGTTTGAAATCATCTCTCCCTTGCAAAAGTCAACTAAATTCTTGAAAACTTGTAATACCTAATTCGTTTGAAAGTAGGTCGGGCATGACATTATGATATGAATATATTTAATTAATAAGATTTGAATAATACTTTGATTAGAATCTAGGTATATTAAATTAAATGAGAACATCATTATTAAATGGAATTTCAATTGGAGGAAGACCAAGCCTAAAAAGGAAGACGCTAAGTCAAGAGGGTGATACCTCATAAGGCATAGGCAGAAAATTTTTCTTTAAATACCTATCTAAAATACACAAGAATAGGTAAAAATTGACAAAAGAGGGGAGATGCTGTCCAAGTGTTCTCTTGAGCTTTGGAATTGATTTTAGTTAGTGTTTTTGGATAAGGAATCATCAAGCTTTAGTCAAGGATTCATCAAGGTATGTGTAAGCTTTATTATGGTTGAGATTAAAACTTGTTTTGGTTGAATAATTGAATTATAATTCAAGGTGATGTTGCTGCCATATTTTGGTCAAGACATGTATGGATTAGGGAAGGATAGAAGCTTTAAAAATGAGTTAGAATTATCATGTTCAAGTGATGTTTGGATTGATTTTTGGGAGAAATCAAAGCTAGGGTTTCATAGCACCCTATTCGGCCATGACTTGCTCTTGGGGTAGGAGTTTGTTTTGATGTGTTTTGATGATTCCAATGAGTTCAAAAGGTGTTTTTATGTAGGAAAACACTAAGAGAAAGTGTTTGAAATCATTGGAATCAAAATTTTTTTTTTGAAACATATACTAACCCTATTCAGCCAAGTCTAGTTAAAGGGGAAGGAATGTGATTTTGTTAAATCTAAATTGATATTTGGATTCTACATGAAAAATTATGTGGGAATGAGCCAAGAGATTGATGGAAACAAAGAGGCTTAAATCAAGAAAAAATGTTTAATTGAGCTTAATTTCAAGCAATTGTGTTTATACTTGAATTATCGATAATTTGGCATGTGTTTATGCATAGATTGATAGGCACATTGCAAGGAATCAAAAGGAACATAACTTTCACAGGGAGGCCGAGTTGGTTCATCAACCAAGAGGTAGCATTGAACTCATAATTTGATTGCTTTCTTGCTTATTTAAATGTGTATGTGTTATGTGATTTATGTTACCATGATGTGATTGAGCAATTTATGTGATTATACATGGGATTATATGTTGAATATGCTTTGGCAATATGTATGAGGAATGGCTTAATGGTATGATTCTTTGCTCTCTTTCCATGGCACACGGTATGCACATGGAATGATGCATAATGACATTGATTTTAAGTATACATGTCACATTTTTACATAGCATGAATTGCATGATGATTATGGTTCTCTGCTACTGAGATTTCTATGAAATCTCACTCTTTATGTTCAAAATTTACCACTTAGGAGTTAGATCAAGCAAGGACAAGGGGAAGCAAATCATTTTTGTAGAAAATTGATTTATGTGCCTGTTTGAACTATGTTTGTAATTATTATGGATTATTGTGAATTATGTTGAACAATTGTATCAATGACCTATGAAAATGTGTATGTGAATATTTGATTAAAAGCTCTGCTTTAGCTTTGGATTATAAGTAGATTAATGGTATGAATTGAAAGGGAAAGGAAAAATCAAGAATGGTGACTTAAGGGATACAAATTAACTTTTTAAGGGTCAAGTTTGACCAACGTGATTTTGAGCAATTGGATGAGTCTGAATCTGAAACTTGACATGCTTATAGATCTCATTTTTAACTTTAAAATAAGTGGTAATTCACTAAATTTAGAGTTTT